AGGTCCTCCGCTGGCGAAAGGTGGCTGAGGTGAAGGGAGCCCCACAGAAATCCCGGAACCCGTGCCTGGAATAGAGCCCTAAGTGCCGCTCCAGGCCCTTCGCAACTCTTCCGGGAGGCGGTCCCTCGGACCTGCGGACTATTGCACTTCAAGGTCTTTGCTGTGTCTTGACACTTCGATTTTCATATTCCATTTATCACTGATTTGTATTGGCTATTTCATGTCCCTTCACCTCTCCAGCCACCTTCACCAAAATCAAACCAAACTCACTGCTGTGGAGTTGGATCCGACTCATAGCGACCCCTCCTTGGGTTTCCGAGGCGCTATCACTACGGAAGTAGATTGCCCAACCTTCCTTCCGAGGAGTGGCTGGTGAGTTTGAACTGCCAGAGCTCCCCCAGCCACCTTTGGACAGTAAAGAGCCCTCGTGGCACAGTGGTTAAAAGTGCTCACTTGCTAACCAAAAAGCTGGCAGCTTGAACCCACCATCCGCTACATGGGAGAAAAATGTGGCCGTGTGCTTCCATAAAGATTACAGCCTCAGAAACCCTATGGGGCAGTTCTACCCTGACCCATAGGGTTACTGTGAGTGAGAATCAACTAGGTGGCAATGCGTTTAACGGTAGTAATAGTGGTGACAGGACATGAAATAGTGACTTTACAATTAATTCTGGCCAATGGCGGTGGGAGGGGCATCCAACAGAGTCAGTGACCTAACATTTAATGCTGTCAAAATGTGTTGGGGAGTTGGGGAGGGAGAGGGGATGAGGGAGACAGGCAAGAGACGAGAGAATGGTGGAGGTGGGGGGGCGTGTAGACACAGAGTCAGTGACCTAAGGATTGGTCTTGTCCAGTGGGGTTGCAGGCACCTCCCCCATCTCCACCATTAGACAGGACCAGTTCTAGGTCACTGATGTGTCTTGTGCCTTTCCCCACCACTACCATTGGACAGGATCAGTTCTTAGATGACTCACTCTTTGTCTCTTGCCTGTCTCCCTCATCCCTTCCCCTCCCCCACTCCCCAACACATTCGGACAGCATTAAATGTTAGGTCACTGATTTTGTTGGATGCCCCTCCCACTGCCATTGGCCAGAATTAATTGTAAAGTCACTCATGTCCTGTCACCACCATTACTATGATTAAACATATTGCCACCTAGTTGATTCTCACTCACAGTAACTCTATGGGGCAGGGTGGAACTACCCCATAAGGTTTCTGAGGCAGGAATCTTTATGGAAGCACACGGCCACATTTTTCTCCCACGTAGTGGCTGGTGGGTTCAAACTACGGGCTTTTTGGTTCGCAAGCGAGCGCTTTTAACCACTGTGCCACCAGCTCTTTACCACTACTGTTGGAGAGAATCAGATGTAAGGTCACTATCACTGTCTTTCATACTCCCCACCACACCACACCATACTCATAAACCAAAAAACAAGGGAGCTCTGGTGGCATAGTGGGTGAGGCATTTGGCTACTAACCAGAAGGTTAGCGGTCCAGTCGCTCCTCCGAAGGAAGATGGGGCAATCTACTTCCTTAAAGATTTACACCCTTGGAAACCCAATGAGGGTTGCCAGGAGTTGAAATGGTCTCAATGGTAGACACCATAGAACAGCATTAATTATATGCTCCCTGTCTCTGTTCATGCTTCACCACCATCACCACCACATTTGGACAGGACTCTATGCTTACACTATGTTGGGTATTCTTTGTCTTCCTAAGAGTGAACTTGAATTCAGAGCTCAGCATATGAAACCTTTATTTTCTGATGTGAATATCAGAAAATTCTTGCTTTAACCATTTCCACCAAACCTGGGCTTTATTTTTGACCATGTGTAAACATCACCTAAAAGGAATGTTAGATTTATTTTTAATTTTTATTGTGCTTTGAGTGCAAATTTACATAGCAAACTTGTTTTACATTCAACAGTTCATGCACATTTGATTTCACAAGCTGATTACCATCCCCAACCATAACAACCTCTCCTCCCCCCTGCCCCCTGTGACCACTCCCTCCCTTTTCCCTTCTTATCTCTGCACTCCTGTGTGTCCGGCTTTCCCTGTATGTGAATGCCACCCCTTTGGTGTCTCATGGCTGATTGATCCAAGGGGTGCATCTCCCTAGAGTAGGTGGGTGCATCGCCCTGGGGTAGGTGTTCTGTATGTAGGTCTTTCTACAGTTGGGCTGAGAGCCAATCCATGTAAGTGAGTCCATTTCTAGGCCCTAAGGGTAACCCAGGGCCATAGTCTCAGGGGTTCCACCAGTCTCTCTCCAACCAGCAATTCTGGTCATTTTTGTGGAATGGTAGAATTTTTTAAGGAAAGGTAACAGTGTAAGTGGAAACCACTCCTTGGGTCTGATTGCACTGTTTTGTTTTTTTTTTTTTCCCACCAAATGAGTGTTTTGGTGAGCAGCTATTTAGCTTTTGAGTCTTTATTGAGCATCCATGCATCCAATTCTTTGCTTAATAAAATAATTACATCTTTACACTCTGGATTCAGAAAAAAAGTAACACATACACTCAAAGACATCCAGAGGCCTTCCCTCACTTGCAGATTTTCAAGTAGATCTTAGTCATCTTGGTGGTGATATGTAGACTACTATGGCTTACTTTCTAATCAAAGCCTAAAAAAGATATACAGTTTGCCCTCCTATCCACAGTCTCTCCATCCATGAATTCCACCAACCACAGATTTAAAATATTCAGGAAAAAAAATTACAGAAACTAGAACTTGAATTTGCCTCTGAGGACTACGCTGAATCCATGCGAATGAAATGATGTGTGGGCATACCCTATTGTAGCCTTCTGCCATTTCACAGATCCTCAGTCTCTCCCCAGTGCTCATTGTTTGAGCATTGTTTACTTCACGTCTCTTAGTTCACTACTTGTGTTGGGTACATCCTTTGTTTCTGTGAAAAAATGGCTCCTACAAAGCAATCAAGTGGTGAAAGCAATCCCTCAAAGGCTAAGAGGGAGCATAAAGTGCTGTTTACATAGCATTCGGGTTGTATTAAGGAGCCCTGATGGTGCAATAGGTAAGGCATTTGACTGCTTACTAGAAGGTCGGCAGTTCAAATCCACCAGCTTCTCCCTGGGAGGAAGATGAGGCAATCTACTTCCGTAAAGATTTACAGCCTTGGAAACCCAGTGGTGGTCGCTGTGAGTTGGAATCAACGTGATGGCCATGGGTTTGGTTTTTGGGTTTACCCAGAGGCAGAATGTAATTGGAAGCAGCTGTGATAGTCAGTGAGCAGGAAGAAGTTGGACATCGGTGGAGAGGGAGATTTATCTAACCTAAATGGGAGGGTGCTGCTGATTTTTCTGAGTTTACAAATTACTTGTTGCACGCCTTCATTTTCCACTACACAAGATGCTACTTTAAATCTCTGTATTCTGGTGATTGGGTTACTTGAACTTTCATTTGCCTGATTTTACTGATTGCTTCTCCAAAAGGTGGCAGAGTCCCAGAGATTGAGAACAATGTGAAAGAACTGAGTGTAATGTAAACCGCTGGCTCAGCACTCAGGTGGCCAAGTTCCTAGCCTTGGTTCTGTTATCAACTAGCTGTCTGCCCTTGGACAAGTCACTTAGCCTTTCTGTGTCCCAGTTACTACTTACGTCACATGGAAACATCTGGTTTCCCTCACTGGCATTTGTGACAATCAAATGAAATGTGTTGTTACTCTCTGTCGAGTCAATTCTAATTCATGGTGACCCCATGTGTTACAGAGAAGTCCTGCTCCATAGGTTTTTAAGGAAGCAGGTCACCAGGCCTATTTTCCAAGGTACCTCTGGGTTGCTTTTAACCAACCAACCTTTCAGCTAGTAGTTGAGCACTTAAATGTTTGTGCCACCTGGGGACTCCTCAAATAAAATTAAGCATGTTTGATATAAACACAAGGTATTGTTCAGCCTCTTTTGTACAGCAATTCATATATTTTTATCTAAATAGTTTCATGTTAACTGTCGAAATCCAGAAGCTTAAGCAAGTGGGGAGATGTCAGTTTTGGGTGCAGCTGTATAAGAAGGTACCTTGAGATAAATAGATTTTGATAAACTTTTTAAAATTCTTTGTACACACCATGGTTTTGCATAGGCCCCACTCCTAGTGGTTCTCAAAGTGAGGGCCCAGACCAGCAACATCAGTATCACCTGGCAACTTGTTAAAAATTCAGATTCTGGAATTCTACCTCAGACCTACTGAATCAGAAACTGCAGGTGGTGCCTCCTTATGAAGGTTTTAAAGATATGGCCGTAAAGTCTTCGATACTCCTCCCCTCAAGAGGTGGAGCTTAATCCCCCCCTCCCAGTGTGGACTAGACTTAGTTGCTCTAAGGAATATAGTATGGTAGGAGTGATGAGATCTCATTTTCTATATTAAGGTATAAAATGACTGCGGTCCAGCAAAACTATCAAGGTCATGAAAAACAAGAAAAGGCTGAGAAACTGTCACAGCAAAGAGGAACCTAAGGCGACATGATGACTAAATATAATGTGGTAGCCTGGGTGGGATTCTGGAACAGAAAAAGGACATTGGGTAGAAACTAAGGAATTCTGAATAAAGTATGGACTTTAGTTAATAATAATGTATCAATATTGGTTCAGTAGTTGTAGCAAACGTGCCATACTAATGTAAGGTGTTAATCATGGGGGAAGGTAGGTATGGCATATATAGGAATTTTCTATATTATGATC